GGTCACGTTTGGTTTTGTTATTGATAATTTGTGATTGTGCACCAAACCTGCACTCCAGGTATTCGATGAAAAGCCAGACAAAGTAATTATATGTATGTGTCATTAGTGTTTGTGTTTTCACATAGTGATGCAATGTAATCTGTGTGAGCTTCATTGTAAATGGACTATATGTATTTTCTGATTTTAATTCGTTATTTAGGGAGAAATAGTCAAAGAAGCCATGGAAAGTGCCTCATTAACATGATTCATGGTGATATTGATTTCGTCGTCACCGCTAATTTGTTGTTCTTGGTCGTAATAATTCTCTTCAAATCTTTTGTGTATTACTTATTTTGTCTTGGTGTGTGTTAGTTGGGATGGAAAGTTCATCATTAACAATCGTTGTTGGGAAATTGATTTTATTTGGGACTAATATACATATTAGAATGAGCAGTTTTTGGCTGCATTTTATGAATTGATTCATATTTCAATATATATATTTTTTTCCTAATTTAACGCTTCATTTATGTGGACATTGCAGGACCACAAAATTGAAACGGACCATATTATTCTTTTAGAATGTATTAGTCGTTGTTAGATTTTTGATGTTTTCTTTCCCGTTTTGAAAGTTTTTTAATTTTATTCTTTGACAATGAATGTAATTCTTAACAATTGTTACCATTATTCTATAATAAATAATGTATTTTTTGTTTTAATTCTTCAATTGATTGTTCAAGAATTTGTTATTCTACGATAAGTTTTTAAATTCATGATCAAGAAATAGGTTCAACAATATTTTATTATTTACGGCTCAAGAATATATATATTTTTTTGAATATACTCATAAACATATTTTGTCAGAACTTCCGAATTAAAAACCTTATAATTATTAAAATTTGGATTTTTAAAATTAATAGAATCTATGATTCCTTAAAATATGCAAATTTCCTTTATTAAATATGTATTAATTGACTAAAATACCCTTCTAGTTAAATTGGATGATATTTTTCAATTATTTTTAATTTAATAATTTGAGTTAATCACTTCTTAAAATAAGTAAAATGATTGGTTACATTTATGCATATAATAACACAATAATTACTTTTAATAGAATAACCTAAGTCTATATATATATATATATATATATATATATATATATATATATATATATATATATATATATATATATATATATATATATATATATATATATATATATATATATATATACTATCCTCAAAAGGCACCATGAGAAATTTAGATAATAAATACTTACAATTATACAATTATACATTCCTTGCTTCAATTTTTTTTAATTATTTATTACAACTTGAACTTTTGAGGATAGATGCTCATTATGATCATCAACATCTTTCGTTAAAGCAAGAAATTCTCTATATAATGCACTTAATCGCTTCTTTACATGTAATTCGCCACTTAGTTCTTGAATTCTCTTGTCTTTTTCATCCTACACAAAACATTCGTATTAAAAGGTTATTCTTTTAACAAGATTTCATATAAAAGAAGTGAATAAAAACTTACAAATGTTGCACGTTTTTTAGAAACTGAAACACAAAGTGGATGATTGTGTTCCTTTACAAATTTTCTAACAACCCAATTCCCATGTTTCTCTCTCTTCACTAAAATTATTGTTATGTATTTTTCTCGGCTTTTTTATTCCTTTTCTGGATCAAATATATAGTGCTCTTTTTGTTGTTATGATGTTCTGAATCACCTCTACATCCAAGACCACATGAAATTACACTTCCATCCTCTGACTTACGAGAAGATAAAATACGGGTAATAAAACAAACCCGAGTTTCACAACTAGTAGTCTACCCTAATAAATGAAAATGTTTTTTTTGTCACTTGTCATTTCCTCAAGATTTTTATTACATGTCATTATGTGAGATTTTTTAATTACTTAAATTTCACATGTCATTATGTGGTATTTTCATATTATTTTGTTAATAAAAAGTTAATCAATTCTACTAATTAACACCTCTATTAGTATATATGTTAAGTATTTATTATATTAAATGTGTAGATCAACACTATAATTACTGAAACATTTATTATTTAAAGTAATATATATTTTTCTTCATAAAATAAATATAATAATAAATAGTTTTTATCACCAAAAATATTTGTTATGATTTTTTTGTTACATAAATTAAAATAATAAAATATTATAAAATAAAATTGTCAAATTTAAGATATAATAAAATATATTTTGTTAAATTTTGAGATGAAGTAGATATTAAAAATATTTAATATTTACACCTTGATATAAAACTTTTAACTTTTAAAGCTGTGTAAAGATCTTTTTTGTCATATGTCACATTTTCATTTATTTTGCCACATTTAATTTTGTGGTTATTTTAAATTAATTTTTATTCCACATGTCATTTTATGAGTTTTTCTATTTTATTGAGTTCCACATAATATTTAAATGTAATAATAATAAATGCATATTAATTTCATTAATGACTTTTTTAATTATTTAAAGCCTAATTACTTTCAAAATTACTAAATTAAAGTTTCATTAGCTTTTTTTTGCTTATTTATCTAAATTATTTGTTTAAATTTAAAAAAAAATATTTTTTTGAATAATTCAATATTTTTCTCATTTTTCTTATAAATTCAAGTTTTTGAAATATTTAGAATTTCATATTTATTTTTGACTAAACTGCAAATTTGGTCCCTGTGGTATGCAAAAAAATGTGGATGGAGTCCAAAATGTTTTCAACTTGCACCACTAGTCCAAAATCGATTCTTTTTTGTGGTTTTGGTCCCTGAAAAAGTTGAAAAGACTATTTTATCCTTTTAGATTTTTTTTTCTATTTTTCTTAATATTTGAATAATAAAAAAAATAAAGAAAAGACCCCGCCCACCTTACCCCCACTGCCCCCTTTTTTTTTTTCTCTCTCTCTCTCTTTGACCCTCTTTTCTCTCTTTGACTCCCTCTCTCTTACTTTGACTCCCTCTCCAGTGTTCTTCTTCATCACCTTTCACCTGCAAATCAAACATCTCATACAGACATACATATGCGGTGAAGCTCCGATGGTTTCAAATCCACCAAAGTGAAACACGATCCAAAGTAGTTACAAGTAAAATCGAAGAGTCTGATGCGCCTCCCCTCCTTTCCACTCTATCTGATCACCTTTTTCATCCTATATTCTTCCTACAACTCAAACCACAGACACTTCACACTACTTACACACTGGAAATTAGAAAAGGCACATAATTACCAGTTGATACCTACAACTCAAACACATGCCTCACACATACTCTCTAAAAAATAAAAAACAAAACAGATAGAGAAAATTTACAACAGATAAATTAATTTGAGGATTTATTTTAGAACTTGTTATGATTCTCCAAAGCCCAATCCCAATTGATGTCATCGGAACCATATGCTTTGTTAACATCGAGATACTTAATCCAAGAATGAAATTTACATGTTTGCTACCAAATAACAGAGTAAATTTTAACCAACGACTGCCCCACTCGAAATTAAAATCATACCTAACTTGAACCACAAAAGTAGAAGAAAATGGAAGATTTCGTCGCTGTTGTTGCAGATAAAGAGTGAACCATAGTAGGAATAAAGAAACTCCAATTGCATCAACACATAAAGTAATCTTAGCCCCAAAATAAACCCTAGAATTTTACAGTGTTCTTGTTAGTTATATGTGCTTACAGTAAAGATTAGATGAACAAGTTAACAATCGATTACTTCCTCTTTCAATAAAGGATAACGGATGGGGGTTGAAGGAGGACAACAAGAGAATTCCATCGGGTTGAATCTAGTATCAAAGAAAAACATCGCAATTATAGTGAAATTGTTGCTCGTTGTAATTCCATAACATTGGGGGGTCGTGACATAGACTTCGGGCAAGCAGTGGTGGTGGGATCGCTAAAATGAGGAGTTAGGAGAGAGATGCAAAGTTGAGAGAAAAAGATGGCGTATTTGTTTCTTGATACGTATTTTGAGAGAGAGAGAGAGAGACAGAGAGAGAGGGGTTGGTTGAATCTTTTCTTTATTATTTAACTATTTAAGTATTAAGAAAAATATAAAGAAAAATAGAAAAAGAAGCTAAAAGGGTAAAACAGTCTTTTCAACTTTTTCAGGGACCAAAACCACAAAAAAGAATCGATTTTGGACCAGTAGTGCAAATTGAAAACATTTTGGACTCCATCCACATTTTTTTACATACCACAGGGACCAAATTTGCAGTTTAGTCTTTATTTTTCTTTAAATAAACACATATAATACATAAATTAAAGTCATATAATACATATGTTAAACTCATATAATACATATGTTTATTTATATGTCTCATCCCAAATTTATTTATTATTTATTTATTAGAGTGATGATTTAGAAGATCAACTTCTCTTTTTAAAACCTTATTGAGATATTAAAAATTTAATTTGTTCAAAATTTAAAATTATTAATAATCCCACAATTTGAATAAAATTTAAAAAAAAATGGCCCCACCAATATCGTGAGTTTCTCCTTCGTTTCCACCCTAATCAATATTTCCAGCGATGACAGACTCCTACGGCGTTTCTGAATTTGCGTTCCGACACTGTTCATTGAAGGAGATAATAAATCAAATGGAGCTGCTCCAATGTTCATTGCTGATGAAAGGTGACTTGTATGTGAAGAAGGATAGTGTCAGCGATCCATCTCCATCCGGACCCACCACATTATCAGTGTACCACCACACCCACTCAAAACGGGTGGAGGTGTTGATACTTGTCCCCATGAACCGAAAGAGGAGTGATGTTCAGTTCTTCTTCACGTTCCTCATAATTAAAAAAGTAGGCCCATGGATTCTTTTCGTTAAGAAAACGTGGATTTTCAAATTACTTTTCGGGGATTGAATTGTAAACAATAATTGTACTCGTTCTCCTGTGCATTCGTTTCATCCACATCTCTACTATTAATTAAAGTCACATCCCTTTCCTCAAATCGCTACTCTATTCTCTGCTCTTACCAAGTATCATAAGCAATGGCTGAAATCGTGCTCTCTGCTTTCCTGACAGTGGTCTTTGAAAAGCTGGCCTCTGAAGCCTTGAAGAAGATTGCTGGCTCCAAGGGAGTTGGTTCCAAACTGAAGAAATTGGAGAGGTCATTAATTCAGATCAAAGCTCTTCTTAATGATGCTTCTCAGAAGGAGATTACTGATGAAGCTGTTAAAGTATGGCTGAATGGCCTCCAACATTTGGCTTACGACATAGACGACTTACTTGATGATTTGGCAACCGAAGCTATGCATCGTGAGTTGGCTGATGAATCTGGAGCCACCACTAGCAAGGTAAGAAAGCTAGTCCCAACCTGTTGCACAAATTTCTCACGTACAAGTAAAAAGATGGAACGCAAGTTAGATGATATTACCACCAAGTTACAAGAACTAGTGGAGGAGAAAAATAATCTTGGTTTAGGTGTGATAACAAATGAAAAGCCAAAAATTGAAAGATATGAGGCATCTTTGGTAGATACAAGTGGTATTGTTGGACGTGAAAGTGAAAAAAATAAGTTGCTTAAGAAGCTTTTGGGGGGTAGAGATGAATTTACTAGTCAAAGTTTCAGCGTCTTGCCCATAGTTGGTATGGGTGGGGTAGGCAAAACAACTTTAGCTAGAATGTTGTATGATGAAAAGGAGGTGAAGGATCACTTCAAACTTAGGGCTTGGGTTTGTGTTTCTGATGAGTTTAATATCTTCAATATAAGCAAAGTTATTTATCAATCTGTGACTGGGGAAAAGAAGGAGTTTGAAGACTTAAATCTACTACAAGAAGCTCTTAAAAAAGAATTTACGAACCAGCTATTTCTAATAGTTTTGGATGATGTGTGGTCTGAAAGCTATGGTGATTGGGAGAAATTAGTGGGCCCATTCCTTGCGGGGTCTCCTGGAAGTAGAATTATCATGACAACTCGGAAGGAGCAATTGCTCAGAAAGCTGGGCTTTTCTCATCAAGACCCTCTCGAGAGTCTATCACAAGATGATGCTTTGTCTTTGTTTGCTCAACATGCATTGGGTGTAGATAACTTTGATTCACATCCAACACTAAGGCCACATGGAGAACTGTTTGTGAAGAAATGTGATGGCTTACCTTTAGGCTTAAGAACACTTGGGAGGTTATTAAGGACAAAAACAGACGAGGAACAATGGAAGGAGCTGTTGGATAGTGAGATATGGAGGTTAGGAAAGAGCGATGAGATTGTTCCGGCTCTTAGACTAAGCTACAATGATCTTTCTGCCACTTTGAAGCTATTGTTTGCATATTGCTCCTTGTTTCCCAAGGACTATGAGTTTGACAAGGAGGAGTTGATTCTATTGTGGATGGCAGAAGGGTTTTTGCACCAACCAACTACAAACAAGTCAAAGCAACGGTTGGGTCTTGAATATTTTGAAGAGTTGTTGTCAAGATCGTTTTTTCAACATGCTCCTAATAACAAATCCTTGTTTGTGATGCATGACCTAATGAATGATTTGGCTACATTTGTTGCTGGAGATTTTTTTTCAAGGTTAGACATAGAGATGAAGAAGGAATTTAGGATGGAAGCTTTGGAGAAGCACCGCCATATGTCATTTGTTTGTGAGCATTATGTGGTGTACAAAAGGTTCGAGCCATTTAGAGGAGCTAAAAATTTGAGAACATTTTTAGCATTGTCTGCTGGGGTGGTAGAAAGTTGGGCTATATTTTACTTATCAAATAAGGTCCTGAATGACTTACTTCAGGAGTTACCATTGTTAAGGGTCCTAAGTTTGAGTGATCTTAGCATAACCGAGGTACCAGAAGTTGTTGGGAGTATGAAGCACTTGCGGTATCTTAATCTATCTCGAACTAAAATCACACATTTACCGGAAAACGTCTGCAATCTATATAATTTACAGACGTTGATTGTTTCTGGCTGTAAAATGTTAACTGAGTTGCCCAAGAGCTTCTCAAAGCTTAAAAATTTGCAGCATTTTGACATGAGGGGTAGTTGGAGGTTAAAGAAGATGCCCTTAGGGATTGGTGAGTTGAAAAGTGTACAAACTCTCTCCAGTGACATTGTCATAGCAATAACCGAGCTTAAGAACTTGCAAAATCTCCATGGGAAAGTTTGTATTGGCGGGCTGGGAAAAGTGGAAAATGCAGTGGATGCACGTGAGGCGAAGTTGTCTCAAAAAAGGTTTAGTGAGTTAGAGTTGGATTGGGGTGATGAGTTTAATGTTTTCCAAATGGGAACACGTGAAAAAGAGGTCCTCAATGAGTTGATGCCTTATAATGGTACTCTAGAGAAACTCAGAATGATGTCATATCGGGGTACAGAGTTTCCAAATTGGGTTGGGGATCCCTCGTTTCTTCGGTTGACTAAAGTGTCGATATATAGATGTGAAGAATGTACATCTCTACCAAGACTTGGGCAACTACCATCACTGAAGGAGCTGTTTATTGGTAAGATGAGTAAGGTGAAGGTTGTAGGTTTGGAGTTTCTTGGGACCGACCTTGCATTTCCTTCACTTGAAATCCTACGGTTTGTTAGTATGTCAGGGTGGGAGGAATGGTCAACAAATAGTAGGGCGTTTCCTTGCCTTCAAGAGCTTTGTATTGAAGATTGTCCTAATCTGGTCCGGGTCTCCCTTGAAGCACTACCTTCACTAAGGGTTCTGAAACTAAGAAAATGTGGTCATGGTGTATTGAAAAGCCTGGTTGATATAGCTTTGTCAATCACCAAGTTGGAAATAGATGATATTTCAGGGCTTACTGACGAGGTGTGGAGAGGTATGATTGGGTGTCTAGGGGCAGTTGAAGAAATAAAAATCAGCGAATGTAATGAAATAAGATACTTGTGGGAATCAGAAGCAGAGGCAAGTAAGGTTCTTATGAATTTAAAGAAGTTGGATTTATGTGAATGTGAAAATTTGATGAGTTTAGGGGAGAAAGAAGAGGATAATAGTGGGAGCAGCCTAACATCTTTTAGGATCTTGAAAGTATCGGATTGTAACAGCTTGGAGCATTGCAGTTGTGCAGATAACATGGAGGAATTGAATATTGAAAATTGTGATTCAATTGCATCCGTCTCCTTCCCAACAGGAGGAGGGCAGAAGCTCAAGGAACTTGTCATCACTGGTTGCAAGAAACTACTGGAAAAGGAAATTGGAGGACGGGAGAAGACTGGGGCGCTTATCAACTCAAGCATGCAGATGCTTGAGAATGTATTTATAGCTAATTGGCCAAATCTGAAATCCATCAGTGAATTGAGTTGCTTCATTCACCTCAACGGTTTATATATATCAGACTGTCAGAGTATGGAGTCATTTCCTGACCATGAGTTGCCGAATCTCACCTCATTAACACATCTGACAATTCAAATGTGTACAAGTATGGATGCATCCTTTCCTCGTGGGCTTTGGCCTCCCAAATTGTTTTACCTTAGAATAGGAGGGTTGAAGAAGCCCATCTCAGAGTGGGGCCCACAGAATTTCCCAACCTCACTTGTTAACCTAATATTACATGGCGGGCCATATGATGACGTGAAAAAGTTTGATAAATTGTCACATCTTTTTCCTTCATCTCTTACTCTTCTTCGCATAGATGGATTTGAGAAACTGGAATCGGTTTCAATGGGACTCCAACACCTCACCTCCCTCCAAGAACTCTTCATTTGGATCTGCCCAAAGATGAAAGATCTTCCAGAAAAGTTGTTGCCTTCGCTTCTGGTATTGTGGATTGAAGGATGCCCAAATCTGAAAGAAAAGAGTAGCAAAGGAGGCTCCTATTGGCCCCACATCTCCCTTATCCCCAGCTTCAATGTGTAGGTATGCCTTTGACTTCTTTTTAATATTATTTCAATACACTTATCAATTATGTCTTTCCATGAAAGTTCTCTGTCTCAGTTAACATTCATATGCTTACTGATGATCTGTTTAATGTTAGTGTTTATTTTTGTTGATCAATATGATTTAAGTGGACCGGCCTTCAGTAAATAGGTCGGTTTTGACACCTACAAATATGATACTCTCTCTATATTTGTGAAATGCCGGTTAATGGAATTCTTATCGACCGTTTTATCTTAGGATTGATCCTAGAATTTTCATTATTTTTTAAAGTTTTGCTGTTTAGATTTTGAAATCATGAACATTAATTTAGCAAAGTATGAAAAATCCATATAAATATGTAAAAATCATGAATCACTTTACACATGATCTTTAAGATAACGTGATCAATTTACTAATAGCTAGCTACTAATGGCTTTTTACCCAATTGAAAATGATGAATAATATGTTCTATATTTTAACGACCCCTCCACTGATAGGATGCTCTTATTTTTTTGCTGAGTTTTCGAAAATACACGCAACTAAAATAGCTGACTGGTATCAAATTGAAAATTGAGATGAATTTTGTTTTGTATCACTTCTTAAGGATAAATGCAAGAAATAGTGATGTACTTTTCATTTATTTTGTTGGGTTAATCTCATAAAAACTTTATATTTTGTGTGTGTTTGTTTTTTCTGGATTAAACTTCAAATTTATTTTTTGTCTGAAAAAAAAAATTGTATTTTTTCATTTTTTTTGATCTGGCCCTTCTAGTTATTTTTTTTCCAAAAAAAAGAAAATTGTAAAATCTGAGGGTTTTTTCAAGAAAAACTAAAAAAGTTGAGGGTTTATTTGGAAGCAGTTGGAAAATTGAGGGGTTTTTCGGAAAAAATGAAAAAATACAAGGTCTTTTTCAGACAAAAAATAAAGTTGAGGTTTAATCTGGAAAAAACATAGAATATAAGGTCTTTTATGAGATTAATCTTATTTTATGATAGCAATCATTTACTTTCAAAATATTCTTACATTTTAAAAGTACATTGCTATTTCTTGCATTTTAAGCTTGTGCAAACAATTTAAGTTTTCTTCATTTTATGCATTATCAGATGATCACTAAAGTAAAGGAAGCGCATTGGCACCATGGCCCGCTAGGCTGACTTCTCCACCTCCTCGTCTTTCCGACTTTGGCTATTCACGTGACATGTTTGAAAAGGACACGGTAAACAAACCACACACAACACAACATTATCTTTCTATCTTTTCCAATTTTTTGCTATAAATTAATAATCAAATAAATTTTGCATATTTTAACAAGAGATGTGGCGTAAAAGGGTTGAGAACTACTGGGATCTATTGAGTCCAAAAATATCAGCAAACACCATAAGGAATGTGATGGACATGAAGGCAAACTTGGGTTCATTTGGAGCTGCTTTGAAAACCAAAGATCTTTGGGTCATGAATGTTGTCCCTGAAGATGGACCAAATACATTGAAGCTTATCTATGACAAAGGCTTACTTGGCTCAATTCATAACTGGTACTACATATTTTCCTTTTTTTTTTTTTTTATTTTTTATTATTGGGTTAAATTCAATAAATATCCAAATATCGATATTTAATTCAGGTGTGAAGCATACTCAACATATCCACGAACATACGACCTACTCCACGCGAGCGATGTATTCTCCGACATAATCGAAAAGAAAGGCTGCAGTGGCGAAGATCTATTAATCGAAATGGACCGGATCCTAAGGCCCACGGGCTTCCTAATAATCCGTTATAAAAAACCCGTAATCGATTTTGTGAAGAAGTATTTAACCGCAATACACTGGGAACAGGTGGCGATGGCTGATTCGTCGTCTGATGAGACCGATACAGATCATGTTGTGCTCATTGTTCAAAAGAAACTATGGCTCACTAGTGAAAGCTTGAGGGAAACAGACTAAGTTTTTCAACTTATAAACCAAACCCACTTAGGTAAAAAGAAGGTGAAAATGGTTATGTTTTGTAGTATCTCTCCCTCTCTCTCTCTCTCTCTCTCTCTCTCTCTCTCTCTCTCTCTCAAGTTGTGACATCTTAGTAGTGTTTTGTTATGATTTAGTTGATTTATTTGTTATGATGATATACTTTTGCATCTACAAACACTTGGTTTTCGGTTTTATATTTGTGTACTATTTATTTGGATTTTAATTTATATAAACCAAATTTTAGTTCATTTGATATGATGCATAAACTATATAACAAGTTCCATATGAGTAGTATTAAAAATCACTATTTATGGTATTTGTTTAGTTGTAATTGAGTTATTATACATGATTATCGATAATGATTGTGGACTACTTTCATTTCTTGCACGTAATTAAAAAAATTGTAAAAGTATGGTTTTAATTTCAGAAAAGACAAAAATATCATATAAGGATATGAATTTTAACAAAATAACCACAAATTTTCAATTTTGTAGTGGTATACTGGTCATTTCTATATTTAAGATATTTTTTCTAGAAATTTACTTATTTTTAACATGTAATGCAAACCTTAACTCAAAACTGTGAAGTCTGAACAGGCTACTAGTTTCGTACTTTCGTAGTAGATAAGCAAGTCTTCTAAAACTATTTTCAATTGTTTAAAAGACAAAAGTGTACAAATATGTTGAAGTTATTTGTGAAATGCAAACTCTACAATTTTCCATTGCAATTTATATAGTTTGCATTAGCAGCTTTCCAACATGCCTTTGAATTTTCATTTAAATTTTGATGTAGGTGTTTATTTTGCATTGCCCAACTCTGTTAGTTGAAGTTGGTTTAAATTTGGCACTGTAAGTTTTGGTTCAATTTGTTATTGCCAAACTATCATTTTCTCATTGCTTAACTCTAAGCTTTCATAGCAAAACTTTCAATCACATTGGATTTAAAATTTGGATTTAATATGACAATGACAAACCCTCAGTCCCTCAGTTTCGGATCCATCAACTAATGAGCTTAAATTTGGCATTGTAGCATTGTGTTGAAAGTTTTCACTTAATTTAGCATTGCTGAACTCTCATTTTGCATTGGTAAATCATACAAAACAAGACAATTTCACAGTGGCCATAAAGTGGTTTGAGATATGGAGACCCTTTGTCTCCATTCCTCTTTATTTTAGCCATGTAAGGTCTTCATGTTGCCATTGAAGGTGTGGTTGATGTAGGGTTGTACATCGGTGTGAAAGCTGGAAACAATAATTGCAAATAAAAGAAGAATTTGTATGCACTATATATCCATGGAGACATGGGTTTGAATATGTCTCATATGTTTTATGGAGATGATATATTTTTTGTGGGAGAGTTGTTGGCAGACAATATTGCCAACATGGTTGATGGTTCGGGTGTTAAACTTGATTTTATTTGGTTTCTGGTCTTAAAGTGAATATTCATAGATCGATTTTATTTTGGGTTTCAAATCCTTTCAAAGATGTTCTTCAAAGATGTTCAACAGATGGTGGGGCTTACAATTCGCAAAGCTGCAAAATTTCCTTTCACTTACTTTGGGTACCTCGATGGGTGAAAACATGGCTAGGGTCAACATTAGAATGTGATTATGGATAGATTCCAAAAGACTTGCTAAATGGAAAGTTAAATTCCTTTCAACTGATATGATATCTTCATTGGTGAGTTCGGTTTTGAGTTCTCTTTGTATTTACTTTATGTCTTTTTCTTATGTCGGTGACCATCAAAAAGTTATGGGAGTCTCTACGTTCCAACTTTTTCCACGGGATGGAAGAAAATGAATAGATAATTCATTGGATTTCTTCAGAGTTGGCTATGGTGTCCAAAGAAAAGGGTGGCATATGTATTGGAAGTCTTATAGCTTTTAATTTTGCTCTCTCCAAAAATGGCGGTGGTATTTTCTTAATGAAGAACAAAATTTATGGGTGAAGGTTATAAAAGCGATTCATGGAGTGGGTGTTTGGCTTGGTGGTGATGAAATCTAAAGTGGTGGAGTTTGTGATCGTCTAGTTGCTTTGATCAACTTGATGCATCAAAGGTGTATTATTTCGAACTTGTCTTTAGAAAAGTCTAATTTGATCTAAGTAGATGAAAAATTCTAATATTTTCTGAACGGAAAAAGACTTTTATGAAGATAAGTTTACGTAGTATCCTATCTTTTTTCGGTTAATTTGTTCAAAATGTTGAGACTTTTATGAAGATAAGTAGATAACCCTATTATTAACCAATAAACTATGACTTATTAATTTTTTTGGGTTAATGTACATTATATTAACAAATTACTTATAAACGTAACATGTTTATTTATTTATTTATTTATTTATTTATTTATTATAAACAAAGGAAATGAAGTGGTTGTTAATGTGTACGAATAAAAAATGTAGGCTAAGTACTATTTATTAATTGTTGGTATAAATATGAAATAGATAATTACTCTTCACTTGAAATATATTTCATATCCAACTTGTTTCCTTCGGTCACCCAACAAAACCCCATAACATTGGCTATTTTTTTTTGTCTTACTGTGCAGATAGGGTTGGTAATTTAAAACATCGGTCAACGCTTAAATGTTTTACTAAAAAATGTAATAGAATTGTGTTTTTTATGAGTGTTGTGCTAAATGGCTACAAACTATCTTCCATGTCCACATATGGTGTGTCTATTAGCGTTTATTTAATAAAAAACCAATGATTTATGATAATCAATTATGTAACTATTTTTTAATTTGTTAGCTAAACTTTATCCAATTATAAAGAAAATAGTAGCACTATATAATGTATAGAGGTTGGGTGGTAGTTGGGTTCAAGAAGATAAGAAGAACACTTATACATAGTAGCACTTATAATAGTGCATACTTGGAACACCAACATCGATGCCTAAAAGAAACATCCATAGAGTACATCTTACCACGACACCCACAACAACCTATAAGTGGAACGTGGAAATTAGCAACGGCTGCATTTCCTTTATTTGTAATATAAAAGATGTGTTGTGTTTATAAATATTTTGTTAATAATAATATACTTTAATTCATGAAATTAATAAGCCATAGACTATTGGTTAATAATGAGGTTATCTTTAGAAAAATTCTAATATTTTGACAAAAGTAACATAAAGAGACAGACACCAGGTAAATATTAGAAATTGAAAAAACAAGGGGGTCTTTTTAAAATTTTACTTGGTATCCTGTCTTTTTCTTTTAAAAAAATTGGGACTTTTCCATTAATTATGTAAAATATTATGACTTTTCTAAAGATAACCCAACTTTTATTTACACAAACAACTTGGTGATGAAGGGTTTTTTCACAGCTCCGATTGGCGGCGGAAACGTCAGGCTGTATGACTTATTCATGGATGTACATAAAATAGTACAAAAATGTAACACGAAATACAACTTCTATTATCATAAAATAGTACAAAAATATAACATGAAATACAACTTTTATTATCATAATCATTTACATACATAAAATAGTACAAAAATATAACATGAAATACAACTTCTATTATCATATTATATCATATCCGATGTATCATTACATGATAAAACAAACTATAGTATTTGCCTCAATGGTTAGGCATTAATAACAATATAACATTGTATTAGATAAACAAAAAATTCCATGTGTTCCCCGAGTGAGTGTACTTCTAGCTTGTTACGTTCCTGAGAATACATAAGTTTTGAAAATACGTCAACATAATGTTGGTGATTTCATAGGTTTTGACTCTGAGTACTTTTTGATGGAATTCATAGGTTACAAGTCTATGCGGAAAAAAACACTAATGTTTAAGAATACATGCAACCTAAACGATCTATGTCTTTGCATATTAATAGCAACATACTATAAAACTATAAGAACCCTTTGCTATAATTTGAAATTACAAGTTAGGGTTACATGCCTTTGATATTGTTATAGTAAACAATACCCTTGATTCCCTTGTAGAGCTTCAGAAAACTTAGCACCAACAATATGATACCTCTAATGGCTAACACCCAAACCCTAAAACTAGAAGACTTTTAAGGAGAGAGAAGATTTTTAGCTATAGCTTCACAAGAGAGAGATGGTCGAAAATACAAGGATTAGGACCCTTTATATAGTTACATGAAAACTTTAGAAATCCTAAATTTGAATATAAAATAATATCATTTCAAATCAGTGAATATCAAGTTTTTTGATATCAAATGGAGGCTTCCAGAATCCTATAAAGGGATCCCCAAAATTGTCCAAGCATGGGTTCTGCAATCTCTCCTTTGCTTAACTATTAAACAATTATAAATCAGCCATTACACTTGTAGTTAATTCCAACTGATCCCAAAATTAATTCCAAATTAATTTTGATCAATTCTAAATTAATTTTAATTAATTTCTAATTAATTTATTAATCATAATAAATTATCAATTAACAAATTATTTCTCTTTCTCTAAATGTTCTATACTATTTCTAGTTATGAGGGTAACCTAAAAAGAATTTACTTTTAGTTACAAGAATATATCAATTTAGTTATGAGCTTAGACACCTTAATTCAACACTTTTAACCCAAGAATTAAGTGTTTTCTAACTTATATAATAGTAGTTTTTATAACAAAAAGTATGTGGTTACAATATATAAGTGTTTTCTAACTTATATAAAATAGTAATTTTATAACAAACAAGGTATATGCTTATAGTATATAAGTATTTTTTAACTTAAATAAAATAGTACTTTTTATAACCAGAAAATATACGTTTACAACATATAAGTGTTTTCCAACTTGTATAAAATAGTACTTTTTATAACAAAAAAGTATACGTTAATAATATATAAATGCTTTCTAACTTATATAAAATAGTATTTTTTTTATAACAAAAAATATACATTTATAGTATATAAGTGTTTTCTAACTTATATAAAATAATACTTTTATAACCAAAGAGTATACGTTTACAATATATAAATGTTTTCTAACTTATATAAAATAG